AATATGAATCAGTTATGTTGTTTTGAATATCTCACTTAAAAAATTAAAAACAGGTAAAATTAATTTTAACACTGTATTTCACTTTCTTCTCTACAAAACTCTCAAAATAATAACCTCACCTAAATTACAGCATCTAAATATTTTTAAAATAGTATCATAAAGCTATTTTTTTTTTTTTACAGTGAACTGGTAATTTATTTACTCATCAATAACTAAGTCTAGACTCAGGAAAAAAGGCTCCATGTAGTACAAACCTGGATCCTAGCAAAACAAACTTGTACAACTGTACAATTTATATAGAATTAAGTTTCAACTGCCTATAAATACTCCAGATTTTCTAGTTCCTGGTTTCTATTTTTCAAAGGTAAAAAAGAATGCTCTATGTCTATTAACTGCAGGCTATTCTATTTCACAAAATCTGCTTTTACAGCAGAAAATATATCATAATTTTATCTAAAATCTACAGTCAGATAAAAATAACGTGTATTTAACAAATTTATCCCTTATCTGCTACCATTCTTCAGATTCCAATTTTACCACTGAAGATGGACAAAATATAGCCACCAATACAAAAAGAGCCTGTAAATTTTAGTTCCTTTTTAGTTACAGGAAGTAGAGTATTTTGTTCTTTTACCTACCTTATTCTCCCCATCTAACTTAACTGATTAGGAATTCAAGTTGGCATCAAAGGTTACTTACTGACAAAGATTATTGAAAACCTGTGAATTTTGCTTCTTTTTGGGGGGAGTGGTTATAAAGTTTAAAGTTTAAGAGAAGTAGTTTATACTATAATACATGTATTGTTAAATTAAACTAAAAGCTACCAAGTTACTTTGTCAATAACAGTTTAATACAAATCTATATTTATTTAGCTAGTGACTTTTTCCTTATGATAGAAAGCAGACAGTGAAACGTTTGTTAAAAACATTTTGTGGCCCTCTCTGGTGGTGCAGCGGGTTAAAGCACTGCACTAAGAAACTAAAGCCACTTCCACATGAGTTCGATCCCCGCCTGCCCGGGAGGAGATCCACATGGCGTGGCAGACCTCCCCTGACCCGCCCGCTGCTCCCCTCAGCAGTGTACTTCATCGATCTGCCTGTTCTGTCCCCGCTCTGGCTCTGGTGAATCCTCTCACCCTCCGCATCTCTGGCCTGTACCCCAATTCTGTATGAATAAATAAATCTTAAAAAAATATATTAAAAAAAAAAAAACATTTTGTAAACTTTCAGACTTAAATCTAAGAATCTTGTCACATTCTTCTATATTATCCAAGAGTGCAAGTAACTTTTAACCTCAAGGTAGAATTTGATTTTTGGAAAAAGTTGAACTACATTTCTCACCATGCCATACCTTTTTTATTTACAGGCAAGTACATTTGAAAATATTTTTTGAACTGTTATGGTAACCAAAGAGGAATAATCATATAATCAAAGACTTCCAAGAATGAAGACACTTTAGAGTTATCTACAGTACCCCCCCCCCGCAATTGCCCAGTCAATGCTAGAATCCCAGCAACACATTTCCAAGAGGTTTGTTCAGATTCTTCATAAACCATTCCATACGGTAAACTCAATATTTTCCAAGGTAATCAATTTCAGTTTTGGAAAGTTTAAAATACTGGAAAGTACTGCTTTTATAGTACCTGTAGTTATTTACTCTGAACCTTCTACACCTTAGCTTGTTATATTCCCTGTAGCGATTATATTTTCAGAATTATAAAAGTATGTAGGAACATATATAAGATATAAACAAACAAAAAAGACTAGGAATGTATGTAAGACATATTGCAGGAAAATACTTGATTTTTCATTTTCTTAATATAACAAGCATTATTCAGAATTATTTCAAAGAATATTTTCAGAATGCTGTTAAAAAAGATATGGTGTGGGCCCTTCCTGGTGGCGCAAAGGTTAGGACGCAGCACTGCAAACTAGCCAGTTCGATCCCCCGGCCCAGAGGTGACCTACAAGGCACAGCAGACCTCTCCTGACCCATCCACTGCTCCCCTGAGCAATGTACTTCCTAGATCTGCCTGTTCTGCTCCCCACTCTGTCTCTGGTGACTCCTCTCTCCCGCCCCTGAACCTGTGGCTTGTATCCCAGTTCTGTATGAATAAATGATTCTTTCAAGAAAAAAAAAAAAAGATATGGTGTTCCTAGTACTGCAGTAGCCATCCTAACAACTACAAATAAAGGTATCCTTACCCTAAGGATAAAGAAATTTGTGTAAAAGTCTCCACTACAAATATCCTTGTACAAATTTCTATCTTCACCTGGGTGTTGCTGACACAGTAGAGACATTTACTAAGATAAATAAAACTCATTCGGCCCTCCCTGGTGGCACAGCGGGTTAAAGCACTGCACTAAGAAGCTTAAGCCACTTCTGCATGAGTTCGATCCCCGCCTGCCCTGGAGGAGATCCACATGGCGTGGCAGACCTCTCCTGCCCACCTGCTGCTCCCCACAGCAGTGTACTTCATCGATGTGCCTGTTCTGCTCCCCACTCTGTCTCTGGTGAATTCTCTCACCCTCCGCATCTCTGGCCTGTACCCCAGTTCTGTATGAATCTTTAAAAAAAAAAAAAAACTCATTTATATATCTAAATTGTTCCCTAATTATATCTCAGTTTTAAGTTAAAAAAAAAATACAGTTAAACAGATTTGAACTACATAAACCATACCTATACCACAATAGAAAATAGGATATATTTAAATATGAATAAGGAAAAGCCCACATTAAATAACTGAGTTGACTAAGTATTCTTTTCAAAATGACTTATATCCAGTGTTACTAAAAATGAATTGTCTGGACCATCCCTGGTGGTGCAGCAGGTTAAAGCACAGCACTAAAAAGGTAAAGCCACTTCAGCATGAGTTTGACCCCTGGCCCCAGAGGTGACCCACATGGCGCAGCAGACCTCTCCTGACCCGACCACTGCTCCCCTCAGCAGTGTACTTCGTCAGTTGGCCTGTTCTGCTTCCCACTCTGTCTCTGGTGAATTTGCTCACCGCCCCTGCACCTCTGGCCTGTACCCCAATTCTGCATGCATAAACAAATAAAACTTTTCTTAAAATAAATTATTTCACAAATATTATCATAAGAGCATACTAGTGATAAGTACTAATCAAACATTTTGCATTCCAAAACATTAATTCTTATTTCAAGAAGTTGATAGTTCAAACTATACAGAGTGTTTAAATATAATTTCAAGGACTGTATGTTATTTAACAATTATTTTTCCAAGTCCTTACGTAAGTTTTAATAACACAGTATATTGCCATATATCTATAACCTATTCCAAGGGAAACTTGTAAACTACATCTTTTAATTGGAAAGATCTGCAGGAAACTATAAGAAAATAATAGCTGGTCATCTCCAATAACTTGCTGTTCAACTTCAACAGTCTTAGTTAAGAAAGATATTTCCAGGCCTTCCCGATGGCGCAGCGGGTTGAAGCTAAAGCCACTTCAGCACAAGTTCCATCCCCACCCCGGAGGTGACCCACATGGCGCAGCAGACCTCTCCTGACCCACCCACTGCTCCCCTCAGCAGTGTACTTCATCAGTTGGCCTGTTCTGTTCCCCACTCTGTCTCTGGTGAATCCTCTCATCGCCCCTGCACCTCTGACCTGTACCCCAGTTCTGTATGCACAAATAAATCTTTTTGTAAAAAAGAAAAATATGTCTAGAATCCTAAATTGTCAAGCGATTTCATGTTTTATAACACCTTTTCTTTAAGACAATTTAAAAAAGTACATCATGAAATAGTTAGCACAGTACAGAAATGTTACTAACAGCATGGCTTCCCATGAAATGTTCATAAATTTCTGCTTCCTTGATATAACAAGTTCTCTCAACGATTGAAAATACTTTATTTCCTTTTATGCTCTTGACAGCAAAAAAAAAAAAAAAACCCAAAAGTAATTTAACACTGAACTAAATAATCATGCTTGATTTTATAAACTGAAGATCTCTATTCAACTTTTTCCCCATTAATACGCCTAAGGCTTAATGTTTTTAAATATGTGTATCTTCACTAGAGTTAGAATTTACTTTGGTATAAATGTCTTCAGTGTAAAAATTTTACTTTCTTTAATCAAAACTACATGCCTGGTTTTTTAAGCCACTCTCCCCAGCAGTCTATCCTATCCTTTCTACTCTTATGGTGTCATTTATTTTTTTTTTTCCCATTCTGAAGTATGTACCATTCAATGAGGTTCAACAACATATATTTGTGTATTTAGCCTCAAACAAATGAAAAATAAATCAAAAAGGTCCTTAAAAAAGTATAATTTTGATTTAAATTATAAAATTATATGATTAATTTAATTTTGTGAGTATATTAAATATATTTTAATATACAAATATATTAAAATTAAAATTAAATAAATTAAAATTTTTAAGTATAAATGAGACTAGAAGAAATAATTGTTTTTACATCAGCAATCAGTATTAAGAATTCTGAGAATTTAAGACTGTCACATGAAAAATTATAAATCCCTAAAATTACAATTTTATCTAAACTAAATCACTGAAAACAACTCCAAAACGCTCATTAGAAGATTTGTTAGTTGTGTAATCTTCCAACTATTAGACCCTTTCTGGAAATTAAGAACACCTTTGTACAAAATGGAAATTCTTCAAGTTAGTCTTTAGGCTAGAGGTGGTTTATTCTTTATCTTTACACAGGCTCCCTCTACTGACTAAAAAGCAGAACAGATTATGGAATTACTCTGGGACATTAACACAAGGAAAAGGAATCATTTTTTAAATACTTCCAAAATAACATTTTAGATAAAAATACATTAAAAACTGCCCTTACTATAGATCCAAGAACAAATAAACATCTGTGAACTGACACTTCAAATAACGCAGAAATTTTATATGTGGCACATCATTTTATATACTCCCTTTCAACATTCACATTTAAATGCAAAAATGGCTAAACATTTTAAATTCATTTTAAGTGTTTCCAAAAGTTTATCAGTAAGGAAATACTTACCTGTATCTGTTCTGGTGTCCATTGGTCTAGGTTGACTGACTTGACCCTGGATATATGAACCCCAAGATTTCTATGGATTCCAGCACATCTGATGCAAATAAACACACCAATATTCCAGGAAGCCCATCGGGGACCTAATTAAGCATAAGAATCAAAGACAAACAGATATTAAAAGCTAAAATAAGTATGACAGCATACTAGATATTCTAGTTTGCTATACAATTATATGGCATCTTACAGAATTTATATGTCCCACTTTTCAAATGGTACCAGCTTGCTAACAAGACTTGTGACCTGGCTGTGCTGAAAGGTTATAAATTAACTCTGAAAAGCCGTACTGTGTTTATTAATCTTGCTTTTCTAGAAACATCTGAGTAGTATTTTCACAAAACATCTCTGAACCAGTAATAATGTCCCACAGTAAGACATAAGCCTTTATTAATTATGTAAGGTACTGTTTAAAACATTACCAACAAATAAAAAACAACCTTTGTTTAATGAACACAAAAGAACTAGACAACCAAGCTCTGAAAAAATATATGAATGGATAATTAACAAGAATGTATAGCCATGAAATGTATGGCCAAGAAATAAATGGTGATATGAAGACATTCACAAACTTATTACAGAAAATGCCCCTTAAAACTACAATGGCCCCTGGGCCCTCCCTGGTGGCGCAAAGGGTTAGGATGCAGCACTGCAAGCTGCTTCAGTGCAAGTTCTATCCTCAACCCCAGAGGTGACACACATGGTGTGGTAGACCTCTCCTGACCCACCCATTGCTCCCCTCAGCAGTGTACTTTGTCGATCTGCCTGTTCTGCTCTCCACTCCGTCTCTGGTGAAGTCTCTCATAGCTGAGAGACTTCTGAACCTCTGGCTTGTATCCCAGTTCTGTATGCATAAATAAATCTTTAAAAAAAAAAAAAAAAACTACAATGGCCCCTCTTTTGTACGCAGCACATTGGGAATAAATTTTTAATCAATTAACACAAAGTGTGGGCAAAGATGAATAATAACAAGGATTGCCTTACCACTTAACAAATCTTAAATATAACCCCCCCAAGATTAAGAAACATTACAGATAAACTGAGGTGTACAATTAAATATTAGTTCTTTTGGTCATGGTCACATATTCAGGAAAAACTGGAGATATTTGGTTTTTTTTATTCATTATAAGCCTTAATTGTGCTAGTTTTAATACTTTTGAATGTATTTTTCATATTGCTTGTATAATTACAATAAAAATGGAAAAACAAAATACCCAGAAATTACCATAGCATAGAAACTGCCATGCATATACAATTTATGACACTTAACAAATACATGAGGTATACTCTAAATATTTGCTTGATGAGTAACAATGTCAAAATTAAGAATATCTTGAGATGCATAAATTACACTGGACTAGGAACTGTGTAACAAAGTTTTAATCTGTTGAATGGAGTTAAGATTGTCTGACCCACATTACTTAGGTAACACTTGTATAGAAAGTATTTTAAAAGTTTTAAACACAATTTAAGTTGTGTCCAATTAAAAAATCCTAAAAATCAAAAGACAAGAATTTTTCTCCTGAAGTTTCTAAATTGCTTTGCAAAGCTACTGTGTTAACAGTTTTACTAAAAAATAACTCCCAAAAAGAACAGTGAATCCAAATCAGGAAAACAAAAAGATTTTCAATGTACTAGAACTTTGGCTTCATTTCTGTTGTTAAAATACAATGATTCGACCCTCCCTGGTGGCGCAGCGGGTTAAAGCACTGCACTGAAAAGCTAAAGCCACTTCCTCATGAGTTCAAATCCTGCCTGCCCCGGAGGTGACCACATGGTGTGGCAGACCTCTCCTGACCCACCCGCTGCTCTCCTCAGCAGTGTACTTCGTCGATCTGCCTGTTCTGCTCCCCACTCTGTCTCTGGTGAAGCCTCTCACCGCCCCTGAGCCTCTGGCCTGTACCCCAGTTCTGTATGTACAAATAAATAAATCTTTAAAAAAAAAAAAATACAATGATTCCCCTAAGACTATCGGCTAGACCTACAACCAAATATAAATGGAGACTCTTTTCTCTTCTCTTCTCTTCTCTAAACTTCCTGATACAGCAAATGTTATACATGAATGAATTAATTGGGGTACTATTCCATAAGTGATAGTGACCATCATGTAAGTAAAAATAAACTTTAGCATCAAATACAGTGGCATTTTTACAATAACTAAAAATAATGAAGGGACTGAAATGCAGGAAAGTGTTATACAAGAGCAATGCTAATAATGTTAACAGAAAAAAATGTCTGCACTATAAATGAGCAAAAGTTAAATATACTGCAATGTTAAGTGATTTTTGGATTTTACAGAACGTAAGTTTATAAAAATTATCCTTACAAGAAAAAGATGCCATTATTTTAGCCCCAATCACCTTTGTCAATTAAAATAATAAAACTTTTATCAATACATCTTTCTTTGGACTATAAAGAGCATATCTTAACAACAGTTTAAAACTTCCAAAAAGAGACTTCAAAAGCCCAACCAAATTACAACTGCATTATCCACTCTTTAAAGTTTGCCTTGTATGTCTACCTACAATGGCTTTGGTAAAGTAGCTGTTGCTCAGTATGGCAGTCACACAATTATAGGTATGAAATCTTCATCATCACTCACCAAACTATTCAATGACTATTTACTTACTCTTTTGCAATGCAAATGCTACTGAAAGACTGTGGGCACAAAGTCTTTAGGTATTATATCTTTATTTTTTATAACAGTTTATTTTTACATCATTTTGTACATTTTTTTTTCCCATCTCAATTGTAATCCCTGAGCGTTTCAGATCACCGAGTCACTGGTGTGCCATCACCATAATCCTGTGCACTTCCCTCCCCACCCCCACCCCACGTTTTTGATCCCATTCCCCACTCCACCCCCACAAAATGTCTCTGGTATATGGCTGTTCATTATTGTTATTTTCTCGCCTGGTCCATTATACTCCTGCTATGAGTGAAACCATCCGGTATTTTTCTTTCTCTTTCTGGCTTATCTCACTAAGCATGATCTTTTCCAGCTCCATCCAAGTTGCTGCAAAAGACGTATGTTTCTTTTTTTGGTTGCTGAGTAATATTCCATTGTATATATGTACCACATCTTTTTAATCCAGTCATCTACTTTTGGGCATTTGGGCTGCTTCCATGTTTTTCCAATTGTAAATAAAGCAGCAATAAACATGGGGGTGCAGGTATCTTTTTCAATCAGTGTTTTTGTGTCTTTTGGGTAGACAGGTATTATACCTTTTAAGATATAAACATTTAAAAACAATTTAGTAAAATCTAGGAAATGTCTGCGATTAAAATATAGATTAAATCTTAATAAGGCTGTTATAAAAAAAAAAACAATTACATATTTCTTTAAACACAGAAGTGAAATGTTGTAATTCCTTTTTCCTTACTTTACCAGCAAAGAAAGAATGGCAATATGCAGAAAAGAGAAACTCACCAGACATTAATGGTGTCAGGTTACAGAATCCTGTCAGATACACTAAGATGTCAGCCAAGAGGCTACTGACAGACATGCTATCATATTTTAAAGATTCCATGATTAAACTTAAAAGTTTAAAGAAGTTCCATAAATTGTATTTCATTAAATTATCTTTTATTTAATAAAATTGTACTGATATATAGTACTATAAAAACTTTCAGGAGTGAAAATTCACCTCTCTGTATAAGTTGTATTGCTTTTCCCATATTCAGGTTGATACCTTTTTCCCTTTACTCTCATTTCCCTTCCTGTGGGTAACCATTATCTTTTTCAGAGCTTAAGAGTTATTTTTGTTATGGTTTGCAAGTTCAGTTGCATTGGCTATTTATACTCCATAAGTGAAACTACCTAATAATTATCTTTCACTTTCTCACTTATTTCATTAGCATAATGACCTCACTCTGTCTATGTCATTGCAAAAGGCAGATTTCACCCTAAAATTGCCAAGCAGTATTCCATTGAGTATACATATTATAGCTTCTTTAGTTAGTTATCCTTCAACGAGTATTTAGGTTGTCTCTGTGTCTTATCTATTGTGAACAATACTGCAATGAACATGGGAATACATGTACCTTTTCTAATTCTAGTGTTTTCCATTTTTACGGAACTGACATTCCATTTTCTATAGTGGCTGCTCCAATTTATATTCCTATCAACAGTTCGCTTTTTGCAGCATCCTCACCAACACACTATTTCCAGTGTTTTTCACAAGGATTAAGTAAGATTTCTTTGTGGTTTTGATTTATATTTCCCTAGTTAATGATGTTGAACTTTTTTTTCAGGTGCCTGATAGCCACCTGTGTATATTCTTTGGAGAAGTGTGTATTGAAAACGTCTGCCTACTTTTTGAATGTGGGTTGTTTGCTTTGTTTTTGAAATGTATGAATTCTTTATATTTTTGGGATATCACGCATGTATGTATGATGAACAAACACCTCTCCCAGTAAGACGTGTGTGTTGGGGGAGGGGAGGGTTGTAACTGTACAAAAGCTTTGTAATTTGATATAGTTCTATCAACCTTAATCTGCTATGTTTCCTTTGCCATTGGAGTTGAGTCCTAAAATGGTGTTTGAAGTCAATGTCCAGGAGGTTTTTACTGTTACCTTCTATGTATTTTATGGTTTCAGATATTATGTCTAAAACTTAAATCAATTTCATGTTAAATTTTGTGCCAAGCATTAAATAATGACTTAGTCTCATTTATTTGGTATGTGGTTGTCCAGGCTTTCCAGCACAACTTGTTAAAAAAAAAAATTCAATGCTTCACTGCAAGGTCTTGTACCCCTTGTCACAGACTGTCCATCCAGAGCTGTGAGGAGTTACACTAAGTGAAATAGGTTAGGAAAAAAAGCTAAATACTGAATGGTTTTACTTATATGTGAAATAAAGAAAAACCAAACAAAAAATCAAGAAAAAGACAGAATTTACAGGCAGACCATAGACCAGAGGCATAGATGGGGGAGGAAGAGAAAAGAACACAGGATTGTGGAAATGGAGCACAGGTGCTCTGGTGATGGTGATGCAGGAAGCATAACAGAGGTAAAAAATCAAATACTATCCCAAAATTAACAAAGATGTAAGAAAATAAACAAAACATTTAAAAAGTAATTCTGT